ACATCAATTTCTGATTTAAAAAAAAAACCTCAGTAAGCTAGGACTAGAAGGGAATTTTCTCAACCCAATAAAGGGCTTCTATGAAAAGTATTTATATTATATGTGTTTTTTTCAGACTCTTTTCCATTCTAGACTATTACAAGATATTGAACGTTGTATAGTTCCCTGTTATACTGTGAATCCTTGTTATCTCTTTTCTATATAATAGTGTGTATCTGTTAATCCCAAATTCCTAATTTATCTCTCCTCATCCTTCCCCTTTTGTAACAAAAGATTATAGAAAATCTCTTCAGTAGTCTTCAATGGATTAGGATCACAGCATCTAAATCTTTGTAGAAGGGTAGTTTAGGGAAGGACCTAAATCTTAAATCATTTATTTTCACCATCAATAATCTTTTTGGTGTTAAAATATGTCTCTGAAAGAAACAAATGAGATGATAAAGGATAGGTTATTATTACAGTTAATGTCCCAATTTGACAAAACAGAACATGAGCCATGTTGATGTTCCCCTAATCTTTACCTCTCAGCAGGTTCCCAGGCTGGAAACTCTTCCTTTCAGGATGGGTGAACAGTGGCTTGTTCCAATTCAGCTTATTGAGGTGAAGATTTGGGTGTACAAATATAAAACCAAGGTATATCAAGATGAGGGACTGCAGAGTGACAGTTGGTGAGGAGCTGGACTTCCTCCCCTGCCCAGGCTGGCTCTGTGACAGTGCTGGGAGCTAGAACAGAGTGGCAGGGTCTGTGAAGGATGCTCAAGTTTCTAATAAATCCATAGAAACTTGGAATCTTGAGGATGTCAATCCTAGGCTACCTTGGAGAGTTTTACCTCTGAAAGACATAAAGCCTGGGACTTCCCTGGCAGTCCAGTGGCTAAGACTCTAAGCTCCCAATGCAGGAAGCCCAAGTTTGATTCTTGGTCAGGGAACTAGATCCCACATGCCTCAACTAAGAGTTTGCATGCCACAACTAAAACCCAGTGCGGCCAAATAAATAAATAAATATTTAAAAGACATAAAATCTCTTTAGTGGGCACATTGTCTGAAAATGGGCAAGGGGTGGGCCTGGGATGACTTGGCTGACCACTCTGAGTGCCCCCCCAAAGCTCTGGCTGCTGTAGGTGACAGGTTGAGAGGACGGGAAGTTTCTTTCCCTCCTGAGAAGCCACTGTTCTCACCAGCCTCTAGCTGAGGAATTTTTCATGGGGGGAGCCTGCTTTGGAGGAACTTTTGAGGTCTCTCTGAGACCATCTGTAACTTACTGCTTCCTATCTCCCCCAATATTTGTGCCAGGATCCAGAGCTCAGACCTGGGGCTCCCTTTCCACTTGGAAAAGGTAAGATGTGCTCCCCATGTGACCCCCCCCACCCCCACCCTGCACTGGCTGCCACTTTCTGGTGAGTTTCCTTAGCATCTTAAGATGGGCTCCACCTTGCCCAGCCCACTAGGCCCTCACTTCTGGGTCCTTATAAATGGTTTCTTCTCCCACAGCCACAGGGGCAGGGGTGGAGGCTGTTGAGGACTTTGAGAAATGCTGAAATTGGTTCTACCATTTCTGAAAGCTGTTCAGCGGTGAGTATCAGTAATTTCAAAAATATTTATGCCTTCTGATCTGGCACGTCCACATATGCAGATACTTCTGAAAGAAATCTCCAAATGCAGACAAAGCAGTGTGCAAAGATTCACCACACTTATTTATAACAGCAAAAATAGAAACAAGTATCTAGTGAGAGAGAACTGAAATAAACTGACATGAAATATTATGCAGCCGATAAACTTTATGTTTGTGAAAACCTTATGCAAAAACATGAATGCTTAATGATATAATAATAAAGTGTGAAAAACCAGATATAAAATTGTATAACAAAATAATTTGTAAAAACACATCGGCAAGTGATGTGGAGAAAAAAACTGGAAAGAAACAATAAAATGCAGTAACGACGGTCTCTGGGTAGCCGTGAGACAATGAGTGGTAAGTTTTTTCCTTTTTATCCTCCGTATTTCTAGGTTTTGTATACTGAGCAGCTCCTGGTTCATTTTTCAAAGAAAATAGAAAAAGGAAAAAAAATGGTAGTTCTGTTACTTTACCTCCCCTTCCCTCATTCCAGGGGACCAAATTCAGGGTCACTTTCAGGTTCCCCTTAGGGTCCTGTCCTGTCCCCTCCCTCGCCTTTATTTGCTTATTTTAGATATTTTAATTAATTAATTAGGCTGCGCTGGATCTTAGTTGGGACATTTGGGATCTAGTTCCCTGACTGGGGATCAAACTCGGGCCCCCAGCATTGGGAGCACAGACCCTTAGTCACTGGACCACCAGGGAAGTCCCCCTCCTCCCTGTTAGATATCCACCTCCACCTGCACTCGGTGTCTTCCTACCCACCTCCCAGCTGCCAGAACCCACAGGCAATCAATCCTTTCTTGACAAGGAAGGAGTCGAGACTTTTTCCATCCTCCTTCCAAAGCCTGGAATGCATGCTGAGTAGGAAGACTGATTCTGGACCCATGCAACAGTGAACAGTAGCTTGCAGTAAGCAGCAGCCAGCAGCAGCTGGCTTAGTTCCCTGACCAGGAGTCCTAACTGCTAGACCACTGGGCCTAAATCCCCAGTCCTTGCCTGCCTTGACAAGAAAGAAATCTGAAGAGGAGGCAGAAGGTAAAGAGAAAAGTAAACATTTATTGGAAGAGCAGAGTACATGCAGAAAGAAGCATGGGTGAACTCCGAGTCTTGAGAGCCGTGCCTTTGGGAAGTTCAATAAAGAGGCAGTTATCCAGGTCTTTGTCTTCCCTCTGGTCAACTGTCTCGTTTTGTCCCCCTGGCTAATTTGTCTCAGGACCCTCCTCTAGGTGAGCATGCACCCCTCAGCCAAGATGGATTCCAGCCCAGAGGCCTATGGGGTGACCTCCCTTACTTTTGCCTCCCTTGCCCCATTCAGATTCAGATTCAGTTCAGTCACTCAGTTGTGAGCGACTCTTCGTGACCCCGTGGACTGCAGCACACCAGGCTTCCCTGTCCATCACCAACTCCCGGAGCTTGCTCAAACTCATGTCCATCAAGTCGGTGATGCCACCCAACCATCTCATCCTCTGTCTGTCCCCTTCTGCTTCTGCCTTCAATCTTGCCCAGCATCAGGGTCTTTTCCAATGAGTTAGTTCTTTGCATCAGGTGGCCAAAGTATTGGAGTTTCAGCTTCAGCATCAGTCCTTCCAGTGAATATTCAGGACTGATTTCCTTTAGGATGGACTGGTTGTATATCTTTGCAGTCCAAGGGACTCTCAAGAGTCTCCTCCAACACCACAGTTCAAAAGCATCAATTCTTCGGCGCTCAGCTTTCTTTATAGTCCAACTCTCACATCCATACACGACTACTGGAAAAACCATAGCCTTGACTAGATGGACCTTTCTCTGCTTTTTAATATGCTGTCTAGATTGGTCATAGCTTTTCTTCTAAGGAGCAAGCGTCTTTTAATTTCATGGTTGCAGTTACCATCTGCAGTGATTTTGGAGCCCCCCAAAATAAAGTCTGTCACTGTTTCCATTGTTTCCCCATATATTTTCCATGAAGTGATAGGACTGGATGCCATGATCTTGGTTTTCTGAATGTTGAGTTTTAAGCCAACTTTTTCACTCTCTTCTTTCACTTTCATCAAGAGGCTCTTTAGTTCTTTGCTTTCTGTCATAAGGGTGGTGTCATCTGCATATCTGAGGTTAAAGAAGGGGGAATATGGGATCTCTTGATCTTTTGCTCCAACAAGGTTTAGTTCCTCTTTGTTCTTGCCAAGACTGCTATCTTGAAGTGTCCACATGAGACAAATCCTGGCTATTTACCCCGTTTCTATTGTTACTTCCATTTCAGAGAGCAAACAGGAGGCTAACTATAAATGCCTAACCTGGAGCCCACCTCTCTCCTGTCTCAGGAAATGCAAACAGGAGGCTAGTTGAAAGTGTCCGGCCTGAAGCCGATTTTTATCTCGTCCCCAAAAAATCTAAATAGGAGGAGGCCAGTTGTAAATGCCTAGCCTGGAGCCCATCTATCTCCTACCTCAAGATCAGATAGACAACCACTCTGGCCAGTCTTGGGCTTGGCCTTTCTGATGTGCACTTGACCTGAGCCTGGACTCAGACAGGTCCAGGAAAGCCCCCGGCTGGGCCATAGTGTGGTGGGCAGAGCAGGCCCTATAGGGGGTAGGGGGAGACTCCACACACCAAGCGTCAACTCTCTAAGCTGGAGGGACCTGAGAGCTCAACCAGCCCACTGGTACTCAAACACCAGTGTTAGAATCACCGGTGCACTTGGAAGAAATGCATAGTCCCAGGCCCAGCCTCAGAGATGGTTTTGGTAGTTTATTTCCTTCTTTTTTTCGGCTGTACCATGCCAGTGCCCCTTGCAGTGGAAGCATGGAGTCCTAATTACTGGACCACCAGCGAAATCCTGGTTTGGGCAGCTCTTGATGGGGCCCCAGAATCATCTTTTTAACCAGCTTCCTGAAGGACTGGAATGCAGGTGGTTCACAATTGGCTTTGAGAAATCAGGTTCCAGGCTAACCCTGCAGGCTCCCTCCTCCTCACCAGCTTATGTGGGAGAACTCAGCCCTGAGTCTGAGGATGGAAGAAGGGAGGAGAAGGTGGGGTCTGGAAGGGGAGTTAGGAGGGGCCTGTGACTGGGCACCCAGGCCCAGGGGACCCCCCATAGCAGATACAAACTTCGACCAGACCCCCTGAGCCCTGCCTGACCCCTTGAAGGCCCAGTGACTGTGTGCTTTGCCCAAGGATGTGACCATCTTGGGGAAGTCCCAGTCTCCAGCTGGAACTGTGAGGCCACCGCATCAGGCTCCAGGGCTGATGGAGCCTTCAGGGTCAGCTGAGATGGGCAGGAGGAAAGCTTGGGGAGGGTGGGGGGAGACCTGGACTCTGGCAGGAGGTTTCTGAAGTCATAGCAGAAAGCTTGTCCAAGTTAGTGCAGGTTCAGCTCTTCCAGAGATTCAAGGAGGGCGTTCGGTGGCTAGACTGAGCTGAACTTTGAAAAGCCTGGCTCGTCCCCAGACATAGGGAGGGTAGAGGCTCGGGTCATGTCTCCCTCAGGGTCCCGCCAAGAGGCTTTGTCGTCCTCTGAAGCCTGTCAAGACAACAGCGTGGGGTGAAAATCAGAGCCCAGCTGAGGGATCTCCAGGCAGCTACTGGGTCCACTCTGGCCTTTCCCACAAGCTCTGGGCCTCTGTCCATGTAACAGACGTAGGACTAACCACTCCTTCTCCCCAGGAACCCCCAGGCTTTGTTTCACAGCCCCCACTTCCCCATTCCCCGGGGGAGCATCCTTATGGCCTCAGGCCCGGTTCTGACTGCAGATGTGGGAATCCTGCCAGCCCAGAACTCTTTAAGCTGTCACTCCCACCATGCTACTCAAGAATTTTTCTGGGTCAGAAAAAAAAAGAGGCTGTGAAGTCAGGAGCCCTGGCTTCCCGGGTGAAATGGCCAAGACTCTGGTTATGGTGGGGGCGGTGGGTGGACGCTGAGATCAGGGCCCTCCCCCACTTCCCTGCATTGTCAGAGTGGAGCCAGGCTAGGCGGCTCCAGGCCCCCGGAGCACTCTGTCCACACCTGGCTCAGTCACCGGATGTCCGTGTTGGGGCCGGCGGAGGGCTCGGGGCTAGCAAAAGGCCCAGTGGGCTCTGCAAGCTTGATCACAGCGGACTCCGGGACCCAGCTGTTCCCCAGAGCCTGAATCACAGATTCAGTCAGAACAGCCTGTTCTCGGCCGCAGGGATGGGCTGCAAGCTGGAGCAGCAGGAGGGACAGGCAGTGGGGTGGGCTAGGAGGCAGTGGGGTGGGCTAGGAGGCAGAGTCCTTATGGCCAATTTACTATGTCTCAGTGTGACCCTGGGTGAGCCATCTAACTTCTCTGGGGCCCCATTTCCCAAGCTGTAAAACAGGGAGTGAAATATTCCCCTTAGGAAGATAATAAACATTTCTGATAATGTTTTATCACACTCGACAACTGGCAACTCCTGCAATGGTTAATTTGTTTCCATGATTGTTATTTCTCTCCTTGAAGCAGGAAGACTGTGCAGGCTGCAGGCCTTTTGTCATAGGCCTGAGACAGCCAAGTTGGACACTTCGAAGACTCACCAAATAACACACAGCACAGGAAAAGATTCTTTAGGAATCATCCATCTGAGCAACGCCTCCTTGATCAGATGAGAAAGCCGAGGCTCAGGGAGGAAAGACGGATAGTCTAGAACGAGTGAGGCAGCCCATCTCCTGACACTCAGCTGCTCCCATGGGTCCTCAGGTCTGAGTGCTGGGGCCCTCGACCGCTCACTCTCTTGCCCAGCAGCTGGGCAGAGCAGAGGCTGGAGCTGGCCAAGGCCCCCAGCCACTTCTCCTAAGGGTACAGCTGCCCTGAGTTGGATCAGCTGCCCTGAGCAGATCCCACTGTCTGATGGGCACTGAAGCCAAGGAAAGAAGCTCCCACTTCCTGCATAACTATGAGATGGCTCATCTCACTTGTTCTAACCACAGTCCTGAGAGATGGGAAAACCGAGGCTCAGAGAGGTGATGTCACTCGCCAGACATCACACAGCAGGTGTGTGGCTGAGCCGGGCCTTGAACTTGTGACTATTTGACCTCAGATCCAAGCTCTTTCCTTGTGCTATGCATAGTGGCAGGGCCTCATGCACACTTCTCTGAGTGACAGTGTCTCTTGTCTACTAACTGGGCCCTGGCTTTGAGCAATACCCTAGCTGTGGGGGGTGGGGGTAGAGGTGGACGCGTGAGCCCCCTCTAGTGACACCTGCAGGCTGATGGCGACAAGGTAACAGTCAGGACAGAGTTTCTCAGGTGAGATGTGACTAGGGGGAATGAGGGCCTGAAGGCATGGGGGAGGGGGACAGAGATGTCACAAATGCTGTTATTCGTGGCCCTTGTCCACCCCAGCCCTGCCTGTGGGGAGGACATGGCAGAAATGGGCTGGACCAGAGAGCCCCTGAGGTCACTTCCATTTCTCATGAATCCCATGCCGACAGCTTTGGGATTCGGTCAAAACCCAGCCACTGCTGACCACTGACCATCAACAGCTGCAGAAATGTCACCTACTCAGGGGTGACCGAATTTGAGGAAAGAGCTTCAGGGGGGCAGAGACCAAACCACATATGTAGCTGTGGCCAGGACCACTGCCCTCTGGCCCAGGAGCATCTGCATCTCTCAGTGGTCCCTCTGCCCACGCGGTGGACCCTGGGCTATTCCAGCAAGCATGGAGGCATTTTCTGGATTGTATTATACAAGAGCTATATGAGCCTCTATTTCTGCATAGCATGTGTGCTAAGTCGCTTCAGTTGTGTCCAACTCTGTGCAACCCTATGAACTATAGCCTGTCAGTCTCCTCTGTCCATGGAATTCTCCAGGTAAGAATACTGGAGTGGGTTGCTGTGTCCTCCTCCAGGGGATTTTCCTGACCCAGCGATTGAACTCATAGCTCTTATGTCTCCTATGTTGGCAGGTAGATTCTTTACCACTAGCGCCACCTGGGAAGCTTCTAAAAAAACAAGTAGTGAGGCAGCATGGAGATTCTCCCTCCAGCCCAGCCTCTTTTTCTGAGTTGGGGAGGGGCGAGCCCCAGGATATAGAGCCAGGAGGAGAGTCCTGGCGGTGGCCATGTCAGCCCCTGCATCCGTCTCCATGACCTCTCTCTCACTCCCATCCACCCTGTTGGTCTTGTTGAGCTTCCTGAGACAACAACAGCTGCTTCCTAAGCAAAGGACAGCCCAGTACCCCATCCCACGGCAGGCCCTCCTGGGGGGATCCGCCCTGAGTCTTTTGTCCTTGCTGGCGCCAGGAAAGAAGGCAATGGCAGTCCCCCTTTCTGCTCTAGTGTTTAAGGGAATCAGAGTGGAGGCATCTCAGTAAACAGAGAAGGAAGGAGAGATCAGGTGGGGTGGGGTGGGGGAGGCAGGTGGGGCTGCTATCTTCTAAGGGGTGACCTTCTCTGTAGGGTGCTGATGTGGAAAGTGGGGGGGTCTCTCCTTGCAGGGATCAAGGAGGGGCCTGGCAGCCGGTAGCCTCTCTCCAGGAAAATGGGCACAGGGACCCCCCCCCGCCACCCCATTCTTCCTGCCCCTGGCCCCTCAGTCTGAACGTCAGGGTAGCACACCGCCTTGGTCTCAGAACCAAGGAAAGCTCAGAGAAGGGTGCTCTGGAAAGAGGAGAAATGGGGGTCGGGAGCTCTGGAGCCACTCACTGCCTGGGCAAGATGTTTTCCCTCTCTGGGCCTCAGTGCCCACTTCTGCAAAAGCAGACTAGCATCTATTGGTAGTCATATTCCAGTGTGCTGTCGGAATCCCCCAGGGCTGTGTTTAAAATTCAGGTTCCTGGCCCCAACCCCTAGAGGATTTGGTTGAGACTGGTGTAGACGAGAATGTTTCTAATAGGCCCCCACCCTCACCCCCACCCCCAGGTGTTTTGAAAGGGAGTTTGTACCAAACTTAGAGAACGGCTGGGTTAGATGATCTCAAAGACCTGCTGTGGATCCAGCTCCAATGTTCTCTTGATGCCATAAGGAGAGGGATGAGAACACGGCCTTAGGCCAGAAGCAGACACCTGCTGGCACCTAATGGGAAGTCAGGGTGAGTCTTGACTTCCGGCCTCAAGGGCATCAGAGCTTGGGCCTGCCTCCTTCCTTACCAAGTGGGAGAGATGGACCTTGTCCTTCTTCTGTGTCTCCGAGGCCAGCTGAGCTGAAAGAGACAGGAAGGAGCACCTTGAAGCCGGGAGCTGCTCCCCCAGAGATGGACGGCCCCTTGCACCTGGGGCTTGCCAGGCAGGAAGATTCGGCAGAGAAGCCCAACCCCTTGGCAGTGACCCTGACTTTTGAGATTGGTACATGGACATCCCCATGTGTGGGCCAGAAACTGGCTAGGGAAGTGATTCTGTGTGCTCAGGTCATTGCTTCTTCAACCTCAATATGTGTATAGGAAATTTTATTAAAACACAGATTCTAATTCAGTAGGTTGAGGTTGGGGCCCTAGAGTCTGAATTTCTACCAGGCTACCAGGGGATGCCACTGCTGCCAGCTGGGGACTGCAATTTGAGAGGCAAGGGGCTATGAGGCTCTGAGGTTGTGATTGGAATGTTTTCACCCCGTGGGCTCTTCCCAACTCCTCTGAGTGGGTCTAGGGACATGGGCAGAGTTGACATTTCTTCCTGAGGGCCACACAAGGAGGAGGTGGGTGGCAGGCCCATCGTTTCCCACCACGGCCACTTGCACTGGCACAACATTGGCAGTTTGCAAACTTTGCTTCCTGGCTGTACTACTTCCCAGCTATACCAAGGGCAAACTGCTTAACCACTCTGTGCCTCAGTTTCTTGCCCTGTAAAATGGGGGTATTTGTAGGTATTGTAATGCGTGCATGCTAAGTTGCTTCAGTCATACCCTGACTCTTTGCGGCCATATGGACTGTAGCCTACCAGGCTCCTCTGTCCATGGCATTCTCCGGGCAAGAATATTGGAGTGGGTTGCCAAGCCCTCCTCCAGGGGATATTCTTGACCCAGGGATCAAACTCGTGACTTCTGCAGCTCCTGCAACGGCAGGCGGATTCTTTACCACTGAGCCACCAGGGAAGCCCAGGTTTTGTAATAAGCAGTTCCGAACTCCACAGTATTGAGATTAAAGGAGATAAAAACAACATAAGCCACACCACAGTGCCTGGCACAGAAATCTCCCAGTACTGTTATTTTAGTTAAACCCGGTTTATCTGTGCCATCCACCTCAGGAGCTACATATGGCCATTGAGCACTGGAAATGTGACTACTTTCAATTATACTGGGTTTCAAAGGCGCTATGAAAAACTGAATGTAGAATATATATAATTAGTATTTTATATTGATTCCATGTTGAAATGATAAAGTTTTGGATATATCATGTTAAATAAAGTTTATTATTAGAATTAACCACTAGTTTCTTCTTTTTTGTATGTGACTATGAGGGAAATCTTTTAAAAATTTATTTGATTTAAAATTTTATTTATTTAAAAATTTATTCATTTCTCATTGTAGGATAACTGCTGTACAATATTGTGCTGGTTTCTGCCATACATCAGCATGAATCAGGTACGCATATGTCCCCTCCCTCTTGAATCTTGCTCCCACTGCCCACCCCATTCCACTCCTCAAGGTTGTCACAGAGCCCTGGTTTGAATTCCCTGAGTCATGCAGCAAATTCACACTGGCTATCTATTTTACATATGATAGTGTATATATTTCCATGCTACTCAGTCAGGGAATTTTAAACCACATATGTGGCTTGTAGTCTATTTCTGTAGGCCATATATCTGGGGAGACTCAAGGAAGTTAGGTAACTTGCCCAAGGCCACACAGCTAAAAAATGGCAGAGCTGGGAATTTGAAGCTAAGTCTTGAAAGGGGCTGAGCATCTCTAGAGACCCAGGAGCAGGTGTAGGGCCTCAAGATACATCCTGTTCAAGTGCTCCAGCCAGCACTCCACCCTGCAGTCAGTCCTCACACAAGGTCAGAACCTGCAGAGACTGGACATGGATGGGTTCATGGGATCAACAGGGAGCGACGTGGCTGATGAGCTTGACTGGACAGATCAGAGCGAGATGAGAGCCCCCCAGTCTTTCACTCTCCCATTTGAATTGCTTGTGGACTGCCCTGTGGGTCCCTCAGAAAAGAGGAGCAGGGCTCCGGACGCCCATGTCTGAGATGCACACACTGAGCCCCACAAGGTCTCTCTGGGGTCGTGGGGGAATTGTGGGTCTCAGGGAGACCGCTGGCTGACAGCCCTTCACCCCCTTGTCCACATGGCTCACCTTTTTCTCTCCACTGAAACACGCAGCTGCCGAGGGCGGCCAGGCCTGTGGCCAGCAGAAGGGCTAGCAGCACCAGGACCGGGGCCAAGATCCGGATCAGTGGGATGGACACCCTGTGGGTGAGATGGAAGGAGCCTGGTGGCTGTCACCAGATGTCAGTGACACACGGGGCATTCTTATTCTGAGTCCTGGTCACATCCCTCATCTCTCCCAAGGAGATCAGAGAGCACCAGGGACCACAACATCCGGTTAGTCCCAATGGAAGGGGCCTCAGACCCCATCACCAACTCCAGGAGACACTTTCAGCAGGGTCTGAACCCATGAGCAGTTGCCTGGCTACCAGTAATGGAGTATGTGTGCGTGATCAGTCACTCAGTTGTGTCCAACTCTTTGTGACCCCATGGACTGTAACCTGCAAGGATCCTCAGTCCATGGGATTCTCCAGGCAAGAATTCTGGAGTGGGTTGTCATGCCCTCCTCCAGGGGAACTTCCCGACCCAGGGATCGAACCCACATCTCTTATGTCTCCTGCATTGGCAGGCAAGTTCTTTACCACTAATGCCACCTGAGAAGCATAGTTTGTATATAACCCCCAAGAGCCAATCCTTCCAGCTGGGAATCCAGTTGGGTAAGAAAAAATCATATTGTTTGGTTCCACGTCTTCATGCTTGGTATAGGGCCCAGTGCAAAGTGTTCCGGCAAAAGCTGCTGGACTAGGGTCGCTTTCCCTAAAACTGGGCAGGGAGTGAGGTGGGGACTGGGGGCCATGGGGGCCTGCATGTCCAAGGCAACAGGGCTGTTGGCCCCTGTAGTGCTGGGTAGGGGGTGGGATGGTGCAGAATCTGCCCTTCGTGAGCAGCTGCAACCCAGAGGAAGGAGTAGTGGGTACTTATTGGCTCAGAGGCACCTTATAGTTTAGTGCTGACCCTAAAGCTGGCTTTGGTCACCTGGGGCTCACCTGGACTTGGAGCTGCTGCTGGGGACAAAACTGGTGTCCTTTGTTGAGGTAGAGTCCAATTGTGTGACCGGCTGGGAGATCCCTGCAGGAGGAGAGGTTGCTGGGTGAGGAGAGGTCCTTGCATATGGAGAGGTTGCTGGGTGAAGAGAGGTTCCTGCATACGGAGAGGTTGCTGGGTGAGGAGAAATCCTTGCAAATGGAGAAGCTGCTGGGTGGAGAGAGGTCCCTGTGAACGGAGAGGTTGCTGGGTGGAGAGAGGTCCCTGCATACGGAGAGGTTGCTGGGTGAGGAGAGATCCTTGCAAACGGAGAAGTTGCTGGGTGAAGAGAGGTCCCTGCGTACGGAGAGGCTGCTGTGTGCTTGGACAGGGAGGTCCCTGTGAACGGAGAGGCCTCAGCCTCTGTCTTCCCCACCTTGGCTGTGGTGACTGTCAGGAGGAGACCAGGAGAAGGTACAAGTCCAAAAGCAATGCCTCAGCACCTTTCCTGATCCTCGATTCCCAGCATCCTCAGACCTCTGACCCTTAACCCCTGAGCCCTAGTCTCCCTAGGACCAATTACTCAGAACCTCCCCAGCTACAGGACACCCCAAACAGAGGTCTCAATGAAATTGTTTTGAGGACTTCCCTGGTGGTCCAGTGGTTAAAAATCTGCCTGTCAGTGCAGGGGACATGGGTTTGATCCCTGATCTGGAAAGATCCCACATGCCCTGGAGCAGCTAAGCCCTTGAGCCACAACTACTGGGCCCACACGCCTGTGCTCCACAACAAGGGAAGCCACTGCAATGAGAAGTGTAGTCAGAAGCCCGTGCTCACTGCAACTAGAGAAAGCCTGGGCACATCAATGAAGACCCAGCACAGCCAAAAAAAAAAAAGAAGAAAGAAACTGTATTGAACAAACAGGTCACACCTCAGGAACACCCCTCTTTTGTGTTGCAGTCTGTCCTCTATTGTGGAGAGGTGCAATTCCCCTGCCCCCAACTCCATGACCCTGAATCCCTCCCAGGGAAGGAGGGATGTCTGTTACCTGGAAAGACAAGCAGAGAGACTGAGATAGTCTTATCGAAGCCCAGTTTTTTGACCCCACACCAGTACTTCCCCATGTCTTTCAGGGTGAGGTTCCTCAGGATAACCGTGAACCTATTCTCCCATGGGTTGTCGTGGACCGACACCCTTCCTTCCTGGCCGTATCCTCCAGAGAAGACAGTCTCAGTGCAGCGGGAGATGAAGATCCCGGCCTCGCGGCACCAGTATTTCGGGTACTTCTTTAGCTCCTCCCCGTAGGTGCATTGCAGGGACACAGTGTCACCTTCAAAGCCACTGATCTCCTTCGGGTCCACCACCGATCCGTAACCTGAAACCGCAGCACGTGTGAAGGCTGGAATTCCCTGATTTAAGTCCCAAGGTCAAGACCAGAAGGTTTTCCTCAGTCACTCCCTTCTTGGGACAACACTGGTAAGAGCTGGTACTCCACCCTGCCACCGAGGGACCTTGGGGCAGGGCTGTTACTGTTTCCCTACCTGGCGTATTGAAGGCTGGTGATGGGGAAACTCTAGATTCAGACAGCCGGGAGTCTGAATCCCAGCACAGCTGCTTAGTAGCTGCGTGATCCTGGGAAAACTGCTTGACCTCTCTGTTTTATCACCTATAGATAATATGTCCTATGTCACTGAATTAAGATGCCATCATATTTAAGAGCTACCATGATTTCATGTAACATTAAAAAAAAATCAATGGAAATGACATCAGTTACACATCCTAAATTTTATGTTAAAAAATTTAAAAAAAAACAAAAAGAAAAGCAGGTTTGTGAATTGATGAAATGGAATAATTCTTCATCTCTCAGGGCTGTTGTGAGTGCTACAGCAGAAGTTCAAGAAATATTTGCTGAGTTTAAAAAAAAGAAACATTTGCTGAGTTTAGTATAAGGGGTGTCTTCTCAGCTCCCTGGCTGGCACCGAGTCAGGAAATGAAGACAAAAGAGGCAAAGCTACACTCACAGCCACTCAGCCATGAGGGGTCCAGGACCCACAGGTCTGGGGGAAGACCTGGCTCTCCGTTCCAGGAACAGCAAGTGGCCCCTCTGAGGGTTGAGGACGAGGAGTAGGGTGGGGGAAGCCTGGAAGGATCAGGCGGCTGGGCTGCGTCACAGCCACAGCGAATGTAGATTCAGGAGGTCCCTCTAGCAGACCCAGGGGGCGAGCTTGGAGATGGGCCCCACATCCCTCCACCCTCGCCCCCATCTCACCTGGGAGCACGAGGCAGCCCCATAGCAGGAGGAGGGGCCGCATGATGAGCGCCGGGCCACTCGGGAGTGCACGCCTGGGCAATTGGGAGCTCCTCTCTTGGCTACACGGGGCTTTCACTTCCTCCAGAGGCAGATGGAGACCAGGAAGGGAGGGGAGGGGCCGTGCGGGTCCTGGAGAGGGAGGAGGCGCCTCCGCGGTGCCCTCCACTGACCCTCAGCACGCGCCGACCCCACCCCTGAAAACCCACGGAGCGCTTCTCCCAAACTCTTGCACGAGATCTTACCCATGCTCACAGCCGAGCACTCCAGAGGGCCTGTGTGTAGAATTCAGGGAGTCCGTGAATCTGGGTGGGAAAATAGTACATCTTTACTTTCACTAACCTTGAAGTAACATCTATCTTTTCCTTAGGAGTCGTGTTTGCTGGGCTGTGCTGTGCTTAGTCAGTCGTGTCCAACTCTTTGCGACCCCATGGACTGTAGCCCGCCAGGCTCCTCTGTCCATGGGGATTCTGTGACTGTCACCAATTAAAAATCACAGACACTAGCACTTCAACTTGTCACCGATAGCGTGAAATACTGTGTGTGCACCTCCCCGCTTAGGTATTAGGTCTGCCACTACGGTAAGTTATTTAAAGTGCTAATGAAAAAGCACATTTATTATAGCGTTACGTAATTATAAATATTTTAATAACCTCTTCAGTATTATCGGTTTTCTTTTAAACGTATATTTTGTTTTAGACGTTTAAAAGACCATTATTCTCAGACGTGGTGCATAAGTTTCAACAATGGCCCATGGTACAGAGGGCAGGGATTCAGAGGCAGTGCCAACTGCCCCTTGACCCCTTCGCTTCCCGAAGGGCGCAGTATCGCCCTCGGCCACTAGGCGGCGGTGCAGACGGAGGTGAGGGAAGCTGTCCGGCTGGGCCGAGCCGGGTACTTGGAGCCACCTGCAGGCCACGAAGAAAGGCTGCGCTCCCCAGGAGCCCTGAATTCTCTGGCATTTTAAAAAGTGAGCTCGAGGTTTCCCACGGTGGAACCGAATCCTTCTTGGGAGAAAACAAACACGCACGCTGGAGGGAGTCCTGGCATATCGTTTTTCCAAAATAGCTCTGTTGGTTGTTTTTTCTGACTCCAGTCATACATGTTGTAAGCAAAATTTTACATAATGCAGAAATGTTGAAAAAAAAAGAAAAGAAAAAGAGAGAGAAGATTGGGAGTGTTTGTTATTCCCCCTCTTTTCTTAGAAAACCACTGTTAATATTTTGGCATATATATTTCCATATGTACAGGTGGAAATTTTACCCACTTGCTGGGCTAATATTTGAAGCATCTATTAACTCAGTGGTTCTGGGAAGGGAGATTGTTGTGTGTGTGATTCTGGTGATGTGAGAGTTATGTTTTCTTTTCTTTTCTTTTTCATTGAGGTGTAGTTGATTTGAGGGCTTCCCTGGTGGCTCAGTGGTAAAGAATCTGCTTGCCAATGGGTTCTTTCGTTTGGGAAGATCCCCTGAAAAAGGAAATGGCAACTCACTCCAGTACCCTTGCCTGGGAAATCCTATGGACAGAGGAGCCTGGTGGGCTATAGTCCATGGGCTCTCAAAAGAGTTGGACCACAACTTAGCGACTAAGTCACAACAAAATAGTTGACTTACAGTGTTGTGTCAATGAGGAGATATATTTTAACTCCACAACACTGTGGGGGGAGCTGCTGGTGTTTAATGGGCAGAGACGGGAGTTCAAAAGGGTGAAAATTCTGTTATGATCTCAGACTACTAAAGGTAATCACAGTTTTAAAAACACAGATCAAAATAATTTTAATTCTAGTGTTTAATAGTGTATCAGCTCTTTTTTGGGGGTGGTCCTTATACAGAATAATTTCTGATCTTGTTTTCCTTAAATCCTAACTTATTTGTCATAAGCTGAGGCAAGCATCTGACACTTCATTTTGTTATTCTTATGTCATGGGGCCTCAACATTAACACTTTGAAAAAAAAAGTGAAGTTGCTCAGTTGTGTCCGACTCTTTGCGACCCTATGGACTCCTACCAGACTACGCCTACCAGACTCCTCCATCTGTGGGATTTTCCAGGCAAGAGTACCAGAGTGGGTTGCCATTTCCTTCTCCAGGAGATCTTCCCGACCCAGGGATTGAACCCCGGTCTCCCATATTATAGGCAGACGCTTTACCATCTGAGCCACCAGGGAACTCAACACTTTCAAATATGTGTTATTTGGTTACAAATTGTTTTCCTTTTATTTTTTCCCCTTCTATTACAGCCCAGGCATTATACTGTCATTTTTTAGAATTGTGTGAGAAAGCATGTTATTTATGATATTTTGGAAGAGTAAAGGCAGTGCGCCAAAATTTTTATTTTAGGGAGAGGGAGTGGTGTCTCCTGTGCGCCCCCCTCTTCCCTTCGTGTGTATTATGATGTCCTTCCCCTCCACCCCACCAGCTCCACACTTAGCCAGGAGAGAGGGAGGTCTGACGACTCCGTTAGAGGCTGCAGGACTTCCCTGGAGGTCCTGGGGTTAAGAAACTGCCTGCCAATGCAGGGCACATGGGTTCAATCCATGGTCTGGGAAGATTCCACATGACATGGAGCAACTAAGCCCAAGTACCACAACTACTGAGCATGGGGTCTAGAGCCTGCAGGGTGCACGTACTGAGCCTGCCTGCTGCAACCACTGACTCCCGTCCATCCTAGAGCCCGCGCTGCTCAGCAAGAGGAGCCACCACCATGAGAAGCCCGAACACGGCAACTAGAAAGTAGCCCCCACTTGCTGTGAGTAGAGAAAGTCTGCACGAAGCAACGAAGACCCAGTGCAGCCAAAAATAAACACATTATTTAAATTAATGTATTAATACATTTAAATTAATGCCTTTAATAAGTAAATGCATTAATTACTTTCAAAAAAGAAAAAGATCCTAGGGAGAAGACCCTGGAGTGAGGCACTGGTCTGGTCCCTGCACCTGCTCCTGCCCCATGATGTATGGGGGGTGGACAATGGATACGAACCCCTCTGTATACAATAGATTTGGGGATCTGAGAAGAGAGGATACTTGTGTCCTGCTTCCTACCTGGAGCACTAGGAGGTGCCCTGCCATCCCAGGATAGGAGAGCAGGCGAGCAAAAGTGTTCCTGGACCAATGGGCTTGTGGCAGCCTCAGTACATCCTCACGACATCCAGAAGCCCAAAGGTGGTTCGGCCATGCCTGCTGGTGCCATGGCTGGGGTGAGGGGATGGGGCAGCTGCCAGGGGGAGGAGGAAACAGCCACAGTGCAGCCCACCAGAAGCCGGGGAGCGCAGTGGCTGCTGGCACTGGCAGACAATGAGGAAGGCTGCCCTCTGGTGCTCTAGGCCCTGATGGTAAGTAAAGGCCTCCAGGTTTAGAATCCCTTCCCAGGTGGTACTAGTGGTAAAGAATCCACTGGCCAATGTGGTAGAGAGTAACAGACACGGGTTTGATCCTCGGGTTGGGAAGATCCCCTGGAGGAGGGCATGGCAACACACTGCAGTATTCTCGTCTGAAGAATCCCATGGACAGAGGAGCCTGGCAGGCTACAGTCCTTAGGGTTGCAAAGTCTGACATGACTGAATCAACTCAGCACACACACATGGGGAGGGGGAAGGAAGGAGCAGAGAAAACTATAAAGAGACCAAATTTACCCTGAGTCATTTGAGAAAACCCAGATTGAAATGGAAGTCCCAGCTGCTGGGCAGGATTTAGAAAAAGCCTGTTGGGAGGGGAGACAAAATCTGGCCCCAGAAGGGCCTAAATTGACACGTGCCACTTTGCCACCCCCATCCATTCCCTCTGGTTTGGACTTTCTTTGGACTAAGTCACTTCTGTTGATCTAAGATGGTCATTTGTTCCCCTTGAATCAGGGCTTTCAAGATCAGCACGATTGGTACTTGGGGACAGATAATTCTTTGTTGTGGGGGGTTGGTAACCTATGTGTAGCCACATCTTTGGCCACTACTCACTAGACGCTGTCAGTCTCCTCCCTGCCCCCCAAGTATAGGCAATCAAAAACTCTCTAGACATTGTCAAATGTCTCTCTGGCAGGCAAAATTACTCTGGGTTGAAAACCACTGTCTTAGATGATGCATGAATCTTTGGAAAAAAAACCCCAAAAACAGAAGCTGAAGTTGTGTTTACATAGGTGCAGTAACCAGGTTTTAGATGTAGGAGAGTGAGCTTTCTAATCCTGAACTTCAGAGTTAGGAAGACTCTAGTCATAGGCAGAAGAAAGGAGAAGGAAATGGCAACCCACTCCAGTATTCTTGCCTGGGAAGTCCCATGAACAGAGGAGCCTGGCAGGCCTACAGTCTATGGGGTCGTAAGAGTTGGACACGACTAAGGGACTAAACAACAACAGTCACAGGCAGCCCAGAACACACGCTCTCTGCAGGCAAGCCAGCTCTAAGGAAAAAGTAAAGAAAAGAGGGCTGGGTGACATATGCCTTGTTCCTACTTCCAATTCATCAGTCAAATAAGTGAAGGTGTGGAGAGAGATCAAAGGTGTTATACCCAACAAAGATGACTGAGCCAGAGGCTGGAAAGAGCCTGGATCCCTGAGTCACCACTTGGAAGAGAGCTGATTCTCTTCCAAGTCAGTGGCAGACTTGGTGTCAGCAAAAGATAGACTTTAATGTGTTTAGCCACATATTAGATGGCTAAAGAAGTTGCAGTTTGTTTGTTTCTGGAGTGTGTGAAGTGTCAAAGTGTTAGTGGCTCAGTCGTGTCCAACTCTTTGTGACCCCATGGACTGTAGCCCCAAAGACTCCCATGTCCGCTGAATTCCCTAGGCAGGAATGCTGCAGTGAGTAGCCATTCCCTTCTCCAGGGGTTCTTCCCAAACCCAGGGATTGAATCCTAGTCTCCTGCATTGCAGGCAGATTCTTCACCATCTGAGCCACCAGGGAAGCCCTTGGGGTGCAGCTTAAGCCAACACAAAGTTTTTTGTTTTCTCACATACATTTCATCCTCTATTCCACCTACCACTCCCTTGTCCCCAGCCAATGGCAACCTCAATTG